ACGTAACCTCAGCACGAGAGATATGTCTCCTCCTTTGATGTACCTGAACCCTCATCCGTAAACCCTAATGCAAAACCCAAAACCCTAAATCCTAATCTACTCTCGGTGGTGACTATGGGGTTTCGGGCTTACAGCAGGTTTAGGGTTTAGGGATTAGGGGTTTAGGGTTTAGTGTTTAGATTGCGTGTTGCGTGCCATGGACTAGGTGATTTCTTGTCTTGGGGAATGTGCTGTGCAGGAATTTACACTGGTACTGTAGATTCCTTCATAATTGGCAATACCATTTTAGGGGTTCCTCTTGATCTTTCTTGCTTATTTCCCACAAAAGCCCTAAACCCTTGACCCTAAACCCTTGACCCTAAACCCAATACCCAACCCTAAACCCTAAACCCTAAACCCTTACCTTTATTCTCGTCATATCTGGACCTTCCTCGCCTTCAGGGTGAGACCGGGTCATCTTACGCCATGGGCCTCCTACTAAGGGTCCAAAGGACCCAATAATTTGGGTTTAGGTTTTAGGGTTAGGGTTTAGGGTTTGGGGTTCAGGGTTTGCCCAATAATCAGGTGTTTGGGTTTGGGATAGTAGTTTTGTAGGTCAGTGTTTGGCAGATTCTTGAAACCATGCTAAGGAGCTCAGAAGCCCGCTAAACCCTAAACCTTAAACCCTAAACCTGACCCCAACGCCTTGAAAGAGGCTGAAGTCCTGAACCCCAAACCCGAAACTTTTAGGTTTAGGGTTGCTACGATCTGGCATTTTGGGTCCTACATAAAAGATCATGGGACTTAGTAACTGAGGTTATAAACAAGGTAACTATACTTGTAACGCCAACTAGGGTACTTATAACCCTACTTACTAAGTCCCAAGATCCTCCAAGTAGGCCCTAAACCCTGAACCCTAAACCCTGAACCCTAAACCCTAAACCCTAAACCCTTATAACCCTACTTACTAAGTCCCAAGATCCTCCAAGTAATGAGGGGTCGGGAGTCTCTGGGTGCAGAGCCACGAGAATCCCACAAAAAACAGCCCCAGGAGCCCTGAACCCAAAGTCGGTTTAGGGTTTTAGGGTTTA